TTCACATCGACAGTCTGGTGTAATAATAGATTTACTTCGGGTGCTTTGTGGAGTGGGTAAGACTGTTTTTAGTGGCAGGATAACTATGGCCATTGACATGCACTAGTCTAGCACCAGGGACCTCTGCAAATACAAGGACTGGATGGAATATTTAAAAAAGTGTCTCCACACGTCTCCAACACTCTGGTTCACTAGAAAATGAGGTCCTATGTACAAAATTCCAGACTGTCCCTTTAAACATGAAATACTTGTCTAAACCAGAACTGTTTCCTGTTTGCTGCTGTGGGTCTACCAGCATATTATGTTTTTTAACACTTTAATCAGTTATTTAAGGTCCTATATTATGCAAAATGCCAAGTTAGAATGTTGTTACCGCATCAAAAACATACCTGGAGTTGTGTTTTGTTTCATTCACACATGTTTGAGTTACTTTATTATTGGTCTGTCCACATCTCCAAAGCTCAAAATGCTTAGATCTACCTTGATTTTACATTAACATCTACTTTCTTTTTTTTTTTTTTTTTTTTTAACCTCACAATGACAATTCCATGTCGGGTACCAGAATCGGATCAGTGCATCCCTTCTTAAAACATTTTTACTTTTTTAATCATTTACCACATCCACACAACAGTCCGTAGTCTATAATTTATTAAATGGAGAGATCTGTGCAGGTAACACTTTTGAATATTTAAACTTCACTTAGAGCCGTTTCCTCACCAGCCCTTTGCTTTTCTAAACTAGTTGAATTACAGATCACCGCTGTGGGCCGGGAATCAGTCACACTCACTTTTTTGCACTAATTAACCACGCGCTGTGTGACCATCTGATAAATCTGCAGTATGAAAAAGGTACCATGGAAGCCTATAGAGACCGTATGTTATGTCCCAGTTCACAGCGCAATATTTTCACGCTTGAACACTGCGATGCTATATACAGAGAAAGGCCTTAATCCTCAAAGGGCCTTCCTCTTAATCTCCTCAATGATTCATTTTCGCCGTGAGCTGCAAAAACATGTGGAAGCAATATCGCAACTAAGACCAAAGAGAAAAGGAGCTGCGCAAAAGGGACACTGTCGCGGTCATCTCCCTTTAGTGATTTATAAATACAATATGCACAGAGATACTGTTCTGTAGTTGTATTCACTCCCATGATCATTAAGTGATTTATGAGGACTTGTAACAGAGGAGGAGGCGCTAGGATTGACTGTCAATGAACTCACGGTGAACTTTTGTGCCCGAGATAGTTTTAGTTTGAGTCGACACGTGTGGAGTTTAAAACGAGTGCAAGATGAGGTGAAAGATTTACACGAGGTTTACAGGATTACGAGACCCTAATGCGCCGCTAGGTTATTGGTGATAGGAAATGCATGTGATTTTAAAGAGGGTATTACACTTCTATAGGGTATTAAAAGCTAACATATAACATTTAGATCATCATACGTCCTGAAAACAGCATATTAACATTAGGGTCGGGCGGTATCCAAATTTTGATATGGTGATACCGTCTCAGGATTTTACCGGGGTATACTCTATTATTGTATTACCAAAACATCAGCATTTACATGCATAACCTGGCGAAACCACAGCCGCGCATCAAAGCGAGAGCGGCTCCACCAGCAGCTGCAGCAGGACGTACAAGCGCAGGACTCTGTGTTTGTCAATGGGAAAGACGATCAAACTTGACAGGGCGCGTTTAGCCGCTTGTATCAGGTCTTCAGTGAAACTAACAGCTGAACAGACTTGTATTTACCTTCTGTACAGGCTGCCCATGGCAAACACCAACAAACAAAAGTAAATTTTAAAGCACTTATTAACAGTATTTCTGGACCTGGGCTCTTTTACATGACACAGAACTGCCCCAGGTGCATGTTGTACTGATGGTAAACACACAAATACAACCAAAGATTCATGCTTTCTATGTATTTTGATGGGGACACGCACCTATGCTCGCGTAGAGCGTCAAAAAAAAGGATGGATCCTATGTTCTGAAATTTACACGAGCAGGACATGCTGCTCCATACACGCGCCGCACTTTCTGTTTCTGTAAAACGTAAAGAAATGTGGCTTGAAGCCAAAATGCTGCCAAATTGCAGAAGTACAAGTATTTTTGGGGTGGAATAATTCTCTTGCAGCCAGACTTGCCATCTTGTCTTGGTCTCCCTTATGAGCATCACGTGACAGCGGAACGAAACCAATCGAACATCATCTCCCCAAGAAACATTATAGACATTATTAGATTTAAATCGTGATTGCATTAAATTGAAAATAAAAACACAAATTAATCTGTGCTGAGCAAACAAATTTAGATATCAGTAAATTATAATATTATAGTAGGTCCTTATGCGCTGCAGATTTTTTTTATGACGGTAATGAAACTGATACCATTGCAATTTTTTATACCGCGGTATACCGTAATACCGTATTACTGCCCAACCCTAATTAACATGTTTAATAAGCTTCACTTTTTTGCTTTTGAGTCTCCACTCCCTTTGCTCCTCACACAAGTCACTCCCCCTTCTGAGCCAGAGCAAAGCTGTGCCTGAATCCATATTTACATCTACACTTTATCATACAAAGAATGTTGAAATTGATGGATGCAAAGGACAACAACAATTTCCTGTGCAAACCGATACTTTGTCAAGCTGCGAAAATCACATTTCAAAAGAGAAATAAACGCAGGAAGTGGAGGAGACGGGTTTTCTGGGCCTGTCTGACTGGTGCTGTGAAGAACAGTGAGTGTGCTTAGTATTCTCGGCATGTCCAAATCTATGAGTGCTGGCAAAATGAAATTTAATGATGACAGTGTTGGATCAGCAGAACCCCACTGGAGGCTCTATATTTCTGGCTGATATGATAAACGCGGATGAGATTCACTAATCTAGTCTCCCAGAAAGGGAAATGAGAGATCACTATCTGTTCTTTCACTCTTCGGCTCAAACAGTCTGACTTTAAAGGAAGACATGAAAGTGCACCACCAATCAGCTTTAAGTCCACTGTTTTATTTGGATTTCTCACTGTGTGTCTTTCACTTGGTATATACGGGGGAAGATAAAAGAGAAATGTGTTACAAATTGTAAATAAAACAAGTTAATTAAAATTTCTGTTCACATTGATCCACTGCAAACTTTTAACTAAAGCCTCTCTGGTCAATTAAATCAAAGTTTTTTTGTTTTTAATTAAAAGTGCACTTTGTAACTTTTTCTAGTGTAGAGTCTGCCATCCTCATGTCACCACAGAGACATTATTGATTTGCTTAGAATTTCCCACAGTATAGCATTAAATAAATGTATCTCCATGGAGACAAGTGACACCACCAGGTCAAGTTACAGATCAGAGGACTGGTGAAAGAAGTACTTAGTTTTGTTATTTAAGAAAAGTACAGATACCAGAGCAAAGAAATACCCATGTAAAAGTATTTCATTCTCATTATTGTTTGAAAGACCTTATGCATCTGAGCCCAAAACACCTGAAGTATCCAAAACTGGTACTGAAATACTGAAAGCAAGATTTTCTGTTCTGATGCTATAATTAAAACTAATGACTATATTTCTTTTGTCTGGTGGCCTTGGCAGAGTTCTAAAGTGTATTTTGTTATTGTACTTCCTTGTACTATACTTATTATTTATATTTATTTGCATTGATACTTATGTTAGTGTATTTCGTGCAGCGGTTTTCAATAAGTGAGGCAAGAGCCGCGGGTCCCGACGCAAAACACATTTTTAAAGCTCGGGGGGCAGCAGGATTGCACAATGCGGGAGTGGGCAGGCTGAATGATAAACTGCAGTCCCGCAAACTAAATATGAGTGTAAAGTAAAATGTACAAATGATTAAATTATGCCTATCATACATCATTTGTGCTGGATATTTTATTTGGCATTAATAAAAACATTTTAAGCAGCCTAAACTTGTGGACGTGGTCTAATCTTGCGCACATTTTAGACAATTCCTTTCCGCGTCTCTGTGTTTGATAGAGTTGAAGAAAGTGAACATCCTCATCTTGCGGGATTTACAGGTGGGAGCGTGACAAAATAGTGCAGATATGGGCGGGAGGGGGAAATGAAAATTCTTTGCAGGAGCGAGTGGGACTGAAAATTCTGTTCTGTGCAGACCTCTAGCTCGGGGTTGTCTCTCAAGTCAAAGATTAGTCCTCATTCTCATTACTGTTTATTTTGTACGATCATAAACGATAAACTTTGTGCCTACAATAACATTATTCTTAGTATGTACGACCATAAACGAAAATATGTTTCTGCATGTATGTATATGTATGTACTGTATGTATGTGTGGATATGTTTTTGTATGTATGTGGGAATATTTTTGCAAATGACAAGTAATCACTCCAAAGGTGATTAAAAAAACATAAAAAAAAAACAAAAAACTACAACTCCTTTTGAGCACCAGGTCCCAAATATGTTCATGTACATATCACTATTTTTGTTATTATTTTTTGAATTTATTTATTGAAACAAATAAATGAATGAATGAAAAAGTATTAAAGTACCTGTTTAAAGATGTTCTTCAAGAGCGAAAGGTAAAAGTATCTTGGGCAGATTCTGAGGTCACATAAAGCTTCAAATGTTTTTAATAAAGATTTGTGGTGAATTTTGGTCAAACAACTGCACTGATTTTATGTCTAATACTTGTTTTCTTTGTATATTTTTGTTTGCTCATGTGAAACATTCCAGGCAAAGCAATAATCTTCATGGACACCAGAAAAGTTCAGCTTTAATCATCTTTATTCATAGTAAAGGCCCACAGTTGCCAATGCCATGCGCTTAAGTCAAAAGTAAATTGAACAAAGAATAAGTTAATTGATTAAACTTTGATCATAGCCTCCCAAACAAGGCCAGCAACTTCAACAACTTGAAAATCTGCTCTAACTCCTTTCTATTTTACACCTCAAACTTCTGAATGTTGTTATTGCTCAAATTGAGATGAAAGTTAAGTTGAAGTCCCGACATCTGAAGTAAACTTTGTATTGTGTCACTTTTTGGGTGCAGGTGCTACGTTTGATGTGGCCATGCGCTTCCTGTCCGAGTGTCCATGGAAGAGGCTGCAGGAGCTCAGGGCTTTGATCCCGAACGTCCCATTTCAGATGCTGCTGAGAGGAGCCAACGCTGTGGGCTACACCAACTACCCCGATAACGCTGTTTTCAAGTGAGTCACACACACTACTACATACACACTTTATATACGTTAAAGGGCCCATACTACACTGTTTTCTAATCGGTTATATTGCTGTTTCCGCATCAGAAACATATCTGGAGTTGCATTTTGTTTCATTCACACATGTTTAATGCACACATCCTGCATATTTACTATATTTTCCGGGCTATTAGACACGCTCTTAAGCCTCTAACCCCATCAAAAAATGACCGCACCCCGCAATCCAGAGCGCCCTATACACGAATCCACTCGGGTGTCCCAGCACGACTTCAGTAAACTACAAAGCCACACCACCCGCAGCGCACGCAAACACACACGGAGCAGACAGCGACCGCACAGCGAAAACACACCCACAGACACACTCATCACTCCACACCGACGAGGAACGGAACGGAGGAACGAACCGAAAAAGCGAGTGCAATGTGCCACTTCTAGACACAACTGAACAACTGAGTCACTGCGAACACGCCAACAATCCAGCGGTCCCAGACAGCACCCTCCCTACACGCCACAACTGAACAAAGCCCAGAGTCACCGTGAATACACCAAACAAAGTCCCACTGACCCATCCAACTGTTGTGTTTCGTTTAAAGTCCGGTGCGGTTTATTTGTGAAAAAAGTTCAAAAATAGACCATTTAATGACAGTGCGCCTTATAATCCAGAGCTCCTAATAGCCCGGAAAATACAGTAGGCTGTGTGGCTCTTGACTGGAAAACCCTGTTCCACCTTGTGATGTCATGTGGTAATACAGGGAGTGCTCCAGTGTGCCATAAAACTTCACAAGAATCATTTTATTTATAATCATTTCAGCCCCAGAATTGGCAGCCTCACCTGAACTGAAGATAGAAGGTGGCTGTTCACTTCAAAATGACCACTTCATGACATCACAATGTGGAACAGAGCATTTTGAGCTTTAGAAATGTAGACGGCATTGTAATAAAGGATTACTCAAACGTGTGTGAATGAAACAAAACACAACTCTGATTATGTTTTTGATGAATTAACAACATTCTAACATGACTTAAAGCTCACGAGAGTCGATTTTGCATAATATAGGAATTATAATGAGTCAATCTATCTTTTATAACAATCTTTTATACATTAAAACATATTAAATGAAATATGCTAAACTGAAAATAGTTCTTGCTTTTGTTCCCTCATCGAAAACATACTTGGAGTTTGTATTCAGCTTCTAATAACAATAAATAATGCATATGTCCGCTTAAAGTCCATTCTTTCAAAAGCAGTCAAATGAATCATGAGTTTAGTAAGAGAGTTCCTTTGTCCTGGAGTGGTTCATTGTAGGCAAAGTTTCAATGGGGATCTCTTTATTTTATTTTCTTATTGCAAAAACTTTCTCTACATAAGTCTAAAAAGTAAACACATGAAATATCCAAAGCCAGTACTGAAATACCCGAAGTAAGATTTTCTATTCTGAAGCTATAATTAAAACTAATGACTATATTTGTTTTGTCTGGTGGCCTTGACAGACTTACTACTTATACTTATTTGTACGTATATAGTTATTTATATTTATTTGCACTGATACTTATCTTGGTGTATTATTGTTTGAAAGACCTTACGCATCTGAGCCAACCCAAAACACCTGAAATATCCACAACTGGTACTGAAATACTGAAAGCAAGATTTTCTGTTCTGAAGCTATAATTAAACCAAATGACTATATTTCTTGTGTCTGGTGGCCTTGGCAGAGTTCTAAAGTGTATTTTGTTATTGTACTTCCTTGTACTATAGTTATTATTTATATTTATTTGCATTGATACTTCTGTTAGTGTATTATTTAGTGCAGCGGTTTTCAATAGGTGAGGCAAGAGCCGACGCAAAACACATTTTTAAAACTCGGGTGGGATAAACTGCAGTCCCGCAAACTAAATATGAGTGTCAAGTAAAATATACACATGATTAAAGTATGCCTATCATACATCATTTGTGCTGGATATTTTATTTGGCATTAATAAAAACATTTTAAGCAGCCTTAAACTTGTGGATGTGGTCTAATCTCACGCACATTTTAGACAATTCCTTTCCACTTCTCTGTGTTTGATAGAGTTTAAGAAAGTGAACATCTCCATCATTCGATTTGCAGGTGGGAACGGGACAAAATATCACAGATGCGGGACAATTGAAATTGAAAATTACAATTCTTTGCGGGAGTGAGCGGGACTGAAAATTCTGTTCTGCGCCGACGTCTAGCTCGGGGTTCTCCCTCTCTCTCTCTCAAATCCAAGATTAGTCCTGATTTATTCCTGGTCCAGACCTGGTCCAGACCTGGTTTAGACACTGGTTTAGTCCTGGTTTAGTCGTGGTCCAGACCTGGTCCAGACCTGGTTTAGACCTGATTTAGTCCTGGTTTTAGTTCTCGTTTTAGTCCTGGTTTTAGTTCTCGTTTTAGTCCTGGTTTAGTCGTGCTCCAGTGGTCCAGACCTGGTTTAGACCTGGTTTAGTCCTGGTTTAGACATTGGTTTAGTCGTGGTCTAGACCTGGTCCAGACCTGGTTTAGTCCTGGTTTAGTCCTGGTTTTAGTTCTCGTTTTAGTCCTGGTTTTAGTTCTCGTTTTAGTCCTGGTTTTAGTTCTCGTTTTAGTCCTGGTTTAGTCGTGCTCCAGTGGTCCAGACCTGATTTAGACCTGATTTAGACCTGATTTAGACCTGGTTTAGTCCTGGTTTAGTCCTGGTTTAGTCCTGTGCCCTACTGATGTTCAGTGATGTTAAAAGTCGCCTCATTTAGTAGGGGGAGGCTCACATTCACCCAATTTGAAAACCCCTGATTAAGTGAATGCAGTTGAACCAACCCTAAGCAGTAATTTAAAATCATATTTATAATACCACCAGCTTGGACAAACAATACCAAGGATATACAGTGCAGTGTAAAAAACATAAATGAATACGTAAATTTGTACTCAATTGGAGATGGGTAAATTCAACTAGCCATTTCCTTGCCAACAGGAAAACCCATAGCAATAATACAGCTTTTTGCACGATTAATCTTTTGTTTTGTCTGTAAATCCAAACACTGTAGCCAATCTCTTTTATAGACAACATAATCCCGGTTTGTATAGGAGCTTTAAATAGCATGACATAATGACATATTTGTATGTGTGTGTGGCGTGTATAGAATAGTACTAGCCGCTCAATGTATATATTGAGTGATTCAGACCTTAGCCCATATACATCACGGACAAAATGGAAAAAATAAATAAATAAATAACTACAAACTGGAAATACTGTAATTTTCTATGTACATCAGCTGCTGCTCAGGGCTCAAAGGCTTTCTCCATAGCCAGGGCTTTGTTGGGCCAGATGCTACTCCTACATCATTGTCTGTGTTTCTTTTTCAACCATTTCCTGTGAAAGTAGCGCGGATGACCAATCGTTCTGCACTCATGTTGTTTGTAATAAATATGTCACTAATAATAAATGAGAGCCATACATAAACACTGACGCATCTGCAAATGTAAACAATGTAATCTCTCGGACCATCCATGATCAAAAATAACTACATTATTTAGATGGTACACAGTTATTTTAGGCTCTCCAACAAAGGGGTAGTTTCTTGATAAATAAATGAAGAGCTAATAAATAAATAACACAAGATTTCACATTCTGATGCTTTTGTTAAATAAATATAGATACAAAAACACATACAAAATTTAAAAAAAAGAAACATCTTTTGCGTGAACCTGGAAATTGAGACTTGTATACTAGGACTTTCTGGCTTAAATATTTAGATGGTAGAAGGAGCATTCTAGCCAGGCTGGTGCCACCTAGTGCTTCTGCTCAGTTTTCATTTTTTGTCCAGCAACTAGGTCAGGAATTGGAATACACTAGACCAGGGGTGTCAAACATACGGCCCGGGGGCCAGATCCGGCCCTCCAAGACCTTTAATCTGGCCCTCGGCTGATTTTCTACTAAAATATTTGAATTTTATTTTAAAACCTGAAGACAGAATTGGCAATTTTTCGCACACCATTCACAGTCAAAACCCACAGACATGCAACTAGAAATAATAGATTTACAGTTACTACCTTTGTGAGCAGGTTTTCTCAGTAATGAACATTAATAAAACAAAGCTGCACTCAAAGCTAAACACACAAGCACTTGAATGACAAGATAGCAGCTACTCAGGACATGGTGCCTGATATTGATGCACTTGTGCAGGCTCAAAGAGGCCAAGTTTCAGGAGCAAAAAGAAAGCATGACTAAATTCTATGAAATGCAAACAAGTTCATGTTACAACATTGTGTTGAAATTGCATTTTTATTAAAGTTTCAGGTTGTTCATAATATTATAATATTTTGTAAAAGAAAGAGTTCATCAATTAAAAAAGATTTCTGTAACAGATTTGTGTTTCTCTTTACAAATATTTGAACTTATTGTTATTTTGGGGGTTTATATGACATGAGTTTTCTGATCCGGCCCGTTTGGGATCAAAGTAGGTTGGATAAGGCCCCCAGACCAAAATGAGTTTGACACCCCTGCACTAGATGGTTTGCAAAAAACCTGGAAGTGCAAGTTTGGACACCAGCCAATCAGCAAATATTCCCGAGATCGAGCATTTAAAGCTTGAACAAAGAGAATGTTTAGTGAATTTCATTGAGGGGAAAGATGTTGTTGACCTTCTTTGTACGGGATTTGAGAAAAGCTTAATATTCAAGTTAGCCCCGTTAGCTGCACATTACATACATCACGACCAAATGACAGCGATTGGTTAAATAAAAAAAGTACCCGCCTACTGTCGAGCAAATGAATTCCAACGCCGCGAGGTCAGACTGTTTCTATGAAGTGAAATACTTGTGCAGTTGCAGCTCAAGGTCTGTCTTCACATTTGCGAGATTGGGTCAGTGCCTTTTTATGAGATTTTTGCGTCCAGGTATTTTTGTAATTTGTTGTATTTCAAGAATGTGTTGTCAAATTCACATCCCAAGTGAATCCTTCAGTTCATTGTATAGGCTTTTAAAACTCAATGGACA